ATGCCCCTAACCGCCTCTGCCTGCCTGCCTGCCTGATCGCCCCTAACTGCTCACCTGCCTGCCTGATTGCCCCTAATCGCCTCTGGCTCAGCTCCTGCTGCTGCTGCAGCTTCGTCCGGAAGGACGTCTGGAATGACATCTGGAAGGTCATTTGGCTGTCTGGTCTAATTAGCATATGACACTTTTATTATTATAGATTTACACTCATAAACAAAAAAAGCCCAACACAGAAAAGGAGAAATGGCAGTGTACTCATTAGAAAAAAAAAAACAATCTTGGATTTAAAACTGGGTACAGATAATCCACATATATACATATCAATCCTATATAATAAAAGCCTAATATGCTAAGTATCCAGTTGTCCAGTCATCCGTTCAACCAATCAAAGCATAAGATGCTAAAGATATGCTAGGTCTGCTCAACTGCTCACTATGACATGCACTGACCACCAGGGGGAAGATAGTCGACCAGTAGACCAGTCACTATGACATGCACTGACCACCAGGGAGCAAATGCTCCACACAGGAGCTGTCCCCTGGTGGTCAGTGCACTCCCACAGGGGGAGCACCACTCAGCCAGAGCTGGGCTCATGGCTGGCGAGCACTACGGCAGTGGTGGGAGCCTCTCCCACCTCTGCAGCAGCACCAAGGATGTCTGACTGATGGCTTAGGCCTGCTCCCCGTGTGGGCCTAAGCCGTCAGTCAGACATTCCCCAAGGGGTCCCGAACTGCAAGAGGGCCCAGGCCGGGCTGAGGGACCCCCCCCCCCCAGTGCACAAATTTCATGCACCGGGCCTCTAGTATTAATATAAAATACACATTAAATTACTAACCTAAACTAAGGAACTGAAAATTACTTACATCATCTTCATATTTAATATGAATGTCTGTGATTTTTACTTGTACATTTTTAATTACTTGAGTTGCCAATTTTTCCAAAAATGTATCCTTTTTGGCTTCTTTTGGTTTATCTATAAAAAATAGAAAAATACAAGCTCAAAAGTTGAAATTCTCACAAACCTCATAATCAATGACCAAAGGATAGCTAAGGCACTACTCAATGGAAATTATAGGCTTTTCTAGTGTCCTTGTTTTATTTTAGATTTATTTTAGATTTTAATATGCATTTCCAACTTAAAATTTATTTTTGAAGTTACATTATAAACTAACATTAATTTTACCTTTGACGACAGAAATTAAGTGGCAATGTGTATAAACAACACACAGCATAAAAACTACTTTTACCTACCTTTTGAGCGATCAAGACCTTTAAAAGGTTTCTTAAAATGTTTTTTGTGCTTTTTACGCTTACGTCCTTCTCAGTGGAAGCATTTTAGTGAGAAAAGGATAAAATTCAAGTTAGCAGACAAGAGGACAGAAGAGAAAACAAGAGCATTCTTCCTGACATCAAATTTTGGTACAATTCACCTTATTTGAGTCTAAGCTGTCCTGTTATCACAGTATAAACAGAAATTCACAAACCTTCCTTAGTCTAGGAATAACCTTCTTTCATCTAGAAATAACTTGACAGGTACAATTATTCAAAAATTAAGTAAAATATCCATACACAATGCCCTTTATAATATTTATAACTTTTCACAACACTAAGTTTAATGTTACTAAAATATTGGAAATGTAATAATGACAGATGACATTTTTATAAACACGTGGTAGGGACAAAGGAACACAAATGTAATGAATGGGTAGGTTACTGACAATGACTTCCTCTGGATGATATACCTCACTGAAAAATCCTTTAATAACTTAAGGATATAAATACAAAAAAGACATAAAATGTACATTGAACTGTACATTGAAATTGGGTTAATAATTTCTTTAAAACCTAACCCTCTTTTATTTGGCACTGCCTCACTTTATTTCATTACCCAACACCTATCTTATCCAAATTACAAACCTTCACATTCAACTAGACATCAACTCTAGTCTGTACTCTAAGGCAGTCTCTGTATACAGTCTCCCCTGCCTCTAGTTCCCACTTCACTCCTAGTAAACATCCTTCTATACTACTACCCGACTGTTACTTCTAAAACACTATTCACAGCTTGCTAATCCCTTGCTCAACTTTTTTTAAAGGCTCTCTGCAGCCTTATCAATAAAATAAAAAGTGTTTGCATGGCACAAAGGTCCCGTCATGACCTGACACTAACTCCCTGTCCTGTTCTATCTCCTACCACTCCTCCTTGCATTGGATACTTCAGAAATATTATTTATACTTTCCAAGAAAAACTTTCTAATGCCTAATGCATCTACATGTGTCATTCCCATGCCCTCCCTGAACTTCTTCACGAGGAAAACTCCAGGAGGCTTCCAAATCTCAGGTCCAGCACTGCTGCCTATCTGAAGCCTTCTGTAGCTTTTCCAAGCAGCTCCAGGCCATCTACCCCAGCACCAGACTTCCAAAGTGGTGATTACACTGTATTTGAAGTGTTTGTACAACTGTCTGGCCTTCAGGCTTCATTAAGACAGGAATTACCCTTATATCTGGGCACAGAGCATATACTGTCCAAAAGAATAAAAAATATACATCTGAACATAATATATAAGCCCCCTTAATGTCATATATATTTGAAAAAATATACATAAAATTTAGCTTGAAATTTTAAATTTGTTCTTCCTCGATATTTTAAAGCAAGCTGTCCTTCCATTACAAAAACTAAGAACCAAACCCTGTATTACAAGAATAAGACCCTGAGTTTCAAGAAGAAAAGACTTAACAAATACATAACAGAATGTGGACTTTGCTATTACCAGTATTGCTTGTCATAGTGATGGTCCCTAAATATTTTTCATTCATAAATAAAATATTTAGAAAAAGACTGAGTTCTTCACAAAATATCATTTGAAAAGAAACAAAAAGGAAAGCCAGAGCATGCTTGAAAATGGCCAGAAGAGCTCTCAGAAAGAGAGGGTCAGCTGACTGGGTTCAGACTCTCCCATAATCTGTTCTTCTCACCTGAGCTCCCTGTTTTATTCCTGATTTCACATTTGTTCTAGCATCATGTTGCACCACTGATCTCAATGTTAAATGCACCATGTTTAAACCTCTCCAAATAATTTCAAAATCTGAGCGCTACACAGTTCTTTAGATAGAAAAAGTTTCTATTTTTAATCTGATGAATAATAAATTTATGATTCTCAATCACTCTTTAAAGCAGGTCTCAAATATTTTGATCTCACATAAAATTTGAGAACCTTAAAGATCTTTTTATTGGTGTGGATTACAACAATTGATATTTCCATACTGGAAATCAAAACTGAGAATTTTTTTAAATATTTATTAATTCATTTTTAAAAACCATTATCTGATAATATGGTTAACATATATTTATGAAAACTAACTATATTTGCCAAACGAAAAGTTGTAGTGAGGCAAATGACATGATTTTACATTCTTACAAATCTCTTTAATGTCTGGCTTAGAAGACAGCTTGATTTGCATATATGTTTCTGCCTTAGATCTGGTGAAATATCTTGGTTAGATTGAATTACATGAAGGAAATCTGAACTACAGATATGTAATAGTAAAAGGAATAAACATCTTTTCATGGCCTTTTCATGAAATTATAAATACTGCACCCAAACTCAACAAGTGGTAGTTACTTAAAAATTAGTTTCATCTTAAAATCTGAAACTCTATCAATAAATTTTTCACCCAAATTAAAATCAATTGGTCTAATTTTCAATTTTAATGGATTTTTACACGTCTGATTTTTTATCATGCACTGGTAATATGGAAATATTACTTCATTGAACTATGCAAATCTTCCAAATGATGAGTCATTTCATTATTTAGTATCAAAAATCACTAAACTGGGTATAGACAGAACATACCTCAACATAATAATGGCCATATATAACAAGCTGACAGCTAACATCATACTCGTTGGTGAAAAGCTAAAAGCTTTCCCCTTAAGACCAGGGACATTACAAAGATGCCCACTTTCAGCACTCTTACTCAACATAGTATTTATTGGAAGTCCTAGCCAGAGCAACTAGGAATGACAAAGAAATAAAAGGCATCCACATTAAAAAGAAAGAATCCACTGAACAAAATAAACTAACAAAATATAAACAGACTCATAGAGAACAGACTAATAGCTGTCAGAGGGGAGGGAGGTTGCAGGGCTGGATGAAAAAGGTGAAGGGATTAAGCAAAAACAAAACAAAACTCACTGACACAGACAACAGCATGGTGATTAGCAGAGGGGAAGGTGAATGGGGGGGAGATAGGAGAGGGCACAGCGGGGATAAATTTTGAGGTAAGGAGACTTGACTTGGGGTAGTGAACATACGATACTATATACAGTTGATGTATTATAGAACTGTACACCTAAAATGTATATAATTTTATTAACCAATGTCACCCCAATAAAATAAAATAACATAAAATAATTTTTTTAAAAAAAAGAAAAACTCATTAATGGCCGATGACATGTTTTCATAATATAGAAAACACTTAAAGACTCCACCAAAAGAACTGTGAGAACTAACAAACAAATTCAGTAAAGCTGCAGGATACAAAATCAATATGTAAAAATCTGTTGTGTTTGTACACAATAACAATGAATTATTAAAAAGGTAAATTAAGAAAACAATCTCATTTATAATTGCATCAAAAATAATATAATACCTAGGAATAAATTTAACCAAGGAGGTGAAAGACCTGTGCACTAAAAAATATAAGACACTGATGAAAGAAAATGAAGAAGATACAAATAATGAAAAGATATGGGAGTGGAAAACTTAATATTATAAAATTGTTCATATTACCCAAAGCAAGCTACAGATTTCATGCAATCCCCATCAAAATTCCAAAGGCATTTATCACAAAAATAGAACAAATACTAAAATTTTTATGAAAACAAAAAAGAGAAAGAAAAGCAAAGCTGGAGGCATCATACACCCTGATTTTAAACTGTATTACAAAGCTATAATAATTTTTAAAAATATGGTATTAGCATAAAAACAGACACATAGATCAATGAAACAGAATAGAGAGCCCAGAAGTAAACCCACAAGTATACGGTCAATTAATTTATGACAAAGAAGGCAAGAATATACAATGGGGGGAAAACAGTCTCTTCAATAAATTTTGCTGAAAAAACTGAACAGCCACATGCAAAAAAAAAAGAAACTAGACCCCTATCTTAAACCATATGCAAAAATTATCTCAAAATGGATTAATGACTGAAATGTAAGACAGAAACCATAAACTCATCAAAGAAAATGTAGGTGTTGCTCTTTGCAATATTTTTTATCTGATTCCAAAGATAATGGCAACAAAAGCAAAAATAAACAAATGGGACATCAAATTTTAAAACTTCTACAGAGCAAAGGAAACCATCAATGAAATAAGAAGGCAACCTACTAAATGGGAGAAGGTATTTGCAAATTATATATCTGGTAAGGGGTTAATATCCAAAATATATATATAAAAAAACTCATACAGCTCAATAACAGAAAAACAAACAAACAATCCAATTAAAAATGGGTAGCGAATCTAAATAGGCATTTTTCCAAAGAAGACACAGATGGCCAACATATGCAAAAATGTTCAAATCATTCATCAACAGGAAAATGTGAAAGCCACAATGAGGTATCATCTCACACCTGTCAGAATGGCTATTATCAAAAGGATAAGAAATAACAAGTGTTAATAAAGGTATAGTAAAAAGAAACCCTCCTGTACAGTTGGTGGGCATGTAAATTGGTGCAGCCACTGTTGAAAACAGTATTAAGGTTCCTTGAAAAAGTAAAAACAGAACTACCATAAGACCAAGCAATTCCTCTTCTGGATATTTATCTGAAAAAAATCAACAACACTAATTTGAGAGATATGTGCACCCCTATGTTCATTGTAGCATCATTTACAATAGCCAAGATATGGGAAGAACCTAACTGTCCACGATGAATGGATAGAAAATGTCCTGGATGTGCTGGATGAGTGAATGGAAAAGATGTGGTACATATACACAATGGGATACTAAACAGCCAAGAAAAAGAATGAAATCTTGCCATTGGCAACATGAATGGATCTTGAGGGTATTTTGCTAAGTGAAAAAATTCAGACAGAGGAAGATAAATACAATCAAACCTCGGTTCTCCAACGTTTCCCATCTCGAACAATTCGGTTCTCCACCAAGTTGCTCACATAAAAAATGTCTCGGTTGTTGACCAAAACTTGTTTTCGACCCGACAACCCTTTCATGCTTATACCTCAGCATGACAAAAAGCACCTCTCAGGCAACAAAGGAGAGAATGCTTTTGCTGCTGGGAAATCAATGATTAGCACAATTTTAACCCTTTATACGCCATAAGCGGCTATAGACGCTAGGGGTGGACCTTCCCCACACGCCATGCACGTCTAAAGCCGCAAACCTCGCATATCAACTCTGGTCACCCAATTTTAAAAATATATTTTATTGATTTTTTTACAGAGAGGAAGGAAGAGGGATAGAGAGTTAGAAACATCGATGAGAGAGAAACATCGATCAGCTGCCTCCTGCACACTCCCCACTGGGGATGTGCCTGCAACCAAGGTACATGCCCCTGACAGAATCAAACCTGGGACCCTTCAGTCCACAGGCCGACACTCTATCCACTGAGCCAAACCGGTTACGGCATGGTCACCCAATTTTAAAATCAAACTTGTTAGTGACATCTCTGGGTTTGTAAAGAAAATTATGGTAACTTAAATTCGTAAATATTCCAGTGCATATGGAAGAAATTCCAATTTCATACCATTTTGGACACATGACAGCTAACTGCTTAAAGCAGCAGTTCTCAACCTGTGGGTCGAGACCCCTTTGGCGGTCGAACGACCCTTTCACAGGGGTCGCCTAAGACCATCCTGCATATCAGATATTTACATTACAATTCATAACAGTAGCAACATTACAGTTATGAAGTAGCAACGAAAATAATTTTATGGTTGGGGGTCACAACATGAGGAACTGTATTTAAAGGGCCAGAAGGTTGAGAAACACTGGCTTAATGCATAAAGAGGCCATCAAGGTGCTAATGTTGCTAAGTGTATGAAAGTGCTCACAAACCTACAATCACAGGCAACTGAATAGGTAGAAAAACTGTTGTTGATTGGATAAATGAAAAGAAGTTAGCAAATGATAGCATTTCTGAGGCAGTGATATATAAAAAATTCCTTTAAAGCTAGTAGAGGGTGGTTTGATAAATTTAAGAAAAGAAGTGTGTATTTATAAATTAAACAGTACATTAGACATGTACTGTATATAAGAAAGGTTAAAACAGGGAATCATTTGGGGGTCTGGAATGAATTCAATTTACATTATTTCTTTTTTTAAATATATTTTTATTGATTTCAGAGAGGAAGGGAGAGGAAGAGAGAGAGAAAAACATCAATGATGAGAGAGAATCATTGATCGCTTGGTTGCCTCCTACATGCCCCCAACTGGGGATCAAGACCACAACCCCGGTATGTGCCCTGACCAGGAATCGAACCGTGACCTCCTGGTTCGTAGGTTGATGCTCAACCACTGAGCCATAACCAGCCAGGCTCAATTTACATTATTTCTAATGGGAAAAAATGATTCGGTTTTCGAACAAATAGCTTCTCAAACAGCCTTCCAGAATGAATTAAGTTCAAGAAATAAGGTTCCACTGTACAATATTTCTCTTATATGTAGACTCTTACAAAAAAAAATAATTAAAAAGAACAAAAAACTCATAGATACAGAGAACATATTGATGGTTGCCATATGGAAGGGGAACTGGGGGGGATGAAATGGGTGAAGGGGGTCAAGAGGTATAAACTTCCAGGCATGAAATAAATAAGTCAAGAGGATGTAATGCACAGCATGGTGACTATAGCAAATTTTAAAGTTGCTAAGAAAGTAAATCTCAATAGTTCTCTTCAGAAGAAAAATAAAATTTTTGTAACTTCATATGGTAATGGATGGTGACTGGACTTACTGCAGTGATAACTTTGCAGTGGATATAAATGTTGAATCATTATGTTGAACACCTGAAACTAATAGAATGCTGTGTTTCAATTATACTTTAATTTTTTTAAAGTTAGGAAAAAAATTTTAAATGTTATCTATAGATCAAATTTCAAGCTTCACAGAGCAGTGGACTGTGTTTGTTTTACCCCATGAACATTCAGCATGACTGTGGAAGGTAGGGGAAAAGAAATGATGGTAAAACGGAAAGACATGAATTACATTTCCATATTTTCTAAAAGATGGCACGTCATTAAATGGGCTCCATTAAAAGCACATGCATGGATAAAAATATAATTTTTATGTAGCTGAATATAATTAACCATGCATACCCACCAGGCTTGATGTCCTTGTAAACAAAGTTTTCCAAGCCATATATGAACTCCCCTGAATGTGCGCCTGCATCCGCATGGCAGCAATAACCAAAATGCAAAGCATTTAAAGACACCTTTAATTTCACATGTAAAACGTCTAAACTTAATTCAAAGAATTAGAAATCATGTAACAGAACAAGTAAAATTCAGTAAAACTATACTACTTTTTATAAAAACTGGTATTTCTAAGTTAACATTCAATGACACCATTTTAATTCTTTGAACATACAAACTATTTTCATAATATTAAAACAAAAATTCTTAATAATTAAAATTATAACAATGATTTCAAATTAAGCAAGGTAGAGAAATATGAATTATGGCTAATGTCTCATTAAATTACTTGACAAATTTTCAAACAGAGCAAGTCTGTTATTTTGGTTCCCTTTTGACTACCACTTTGCCTATTTTCAGAATAAAATATTTTCATATTTATACAAGTTTAGTCAGCTGAAATTAACTCACTTTACTGTCTGGATCCTTCCTATGAATATAACTAGAATGTACCATCCCCCATTTCCCACCCCAAATCCAGCCTAGACACAGCAAGTTTAACCTTCCTAAAATAGCTCTGATCAGTCAAGTCAGTCCCTGAATTTTTAAAGAAAGAAAAATGGGCAAGTTACTGACTCTCCCACTGGCTACTAGATGAATATCCATTACTCACAGTTAAACTTACAGGAGCTAGAGCCAGACTGGATTCAAATTCTAGCTCTATCGTTTTCTAGCTGTGTGACATGGAACAAGTTATTTAACTTTCAGCTTTTTCAAATATTAAATGGGAATAATAACAGCTTTTAAATCATAGAGTTATGACTGTTAAATGAGTCAATTCCTATAAAGTGTTTCGAAGAGTGACTGGCAAACAGCAAATGCTCAATAAATGTTAGCTGCTATCATAGTCATTATCATTATCATAGCAGTCAAATATCTTAAAATTTACCTAACCGTAGCTTTCTAACTTACCCATAACTACACTCTATCTAACTCCCAAATTCTTAGCTGTTCACATACATGCTCTATACTTTTCCACCATCAGTGTCCCTCTACCTAGAGTGCCCTCTCTCCTTTCTCATCCTTTAGACCCAGCTGAAATACATACCTTCAATGTCTGTCTGATACAGCGGTTCTCAACCTGTGGGTCGCGACCCCTTTGGCGGTCGAACGACCCTTTCACAGGGGTCGCCTAAGACCATCCTGCATATCAGATATTTACATTACGATTCATAACAATAGCAACATTACAGTTATGAAGTAGCAACGAAAATAATTTTATGGTTGGGTCACAACATGAGGAACTGTATTTAAAGGGCCAGAAGGTTGAGAACCACTGGTCTGATCTCTTTGACTAAGTATATGTCCATTCTGAACTCCCTTAACACTCTATCTGTATTTCTTTGATGGGACCTAACACTTTCTCATATTGATTATTATGCATGTCTTATTTTCTCAGATATAGTGTAAGGTTGTGGACAGTAGGATCCAGGGATTTTCCAACAATGTGTCGAGCAGACTAGCATCAGACTTCTCAAAAGTACCTGTAAGCTAAAAGGTATTGCTTTCTAAATTCTAATTTTAAACCTAGGATTCTATCTCCTGCCAAATCAAACAAGTGTGGAAGTAAAATACAAAGACTCTCAGACTTGAAAGAATTTTAAAAACTAAATTCAGTGCATCCTTTCTTAAAAGTTATTAGATATGATTCAACAACGAACAAAGTAACAGAAGAACAAAAAGCAAGAGACCCAGGAAATATTAATTAAATACAGATGAGGGATGAAGACCAGTCCCAAGATGACAACTGTGTAGCAAGACTAAAAAACCTCCCAGTTCAACTGAAGATTTCCATGAAAAAAGGGGACGAGAGGAGGGAACCAATCGATGGGTTTGGGCAATTGGAAATAATGATAGTCATATAACAGATTTCAAATACCCTGTGAAAAAAATTAAACACAAGTTTACATTAAAGACTAATAAGCAAATAAAAAAATTTACAAATTCAAGGGGAAAACCAGTTGCATAAGAAAGAAAATACAATCAGAATACATCATTTGACCTATGCAGTGACAATACTGTCATAGTAATATAAATTTTTACTAGTAATTGGCCAAAAATTGTGAAGTAACCATATTTTGAAAAAAATGGAGGGGAATTTAGGGTAAAAGGAGATGGTAAGCTCTTTGACTACCATAATAGGAAATCCTAGGTAATGCCTTACATTAATAACATAGATAGTGGCAGAATGTTAACATTCCTAAAATGATGGTTCCCTCTAAGGAGTGAGTCTAAAGGATAGAGAAGGGTGAAACTGGGGACTGAGATTTTTCATCAGAAGTCTTTTTGGCAAAACTATTTGATTATAAAGTGTGTTTTATATTACTTTGATAAACTTAACATTTTAAATATAGAATCCACAGCATTTGAGAATTTTTTGGCCTCGCTATAAATTTAATCTTTTCTTTTACTTTATAATAGCCCTTCAGAGAAAATAAACTCTCTCCAATGAAATATAAAGAAGAAAAATATCAAGGAGTTTATTTTTACAATTACACAAACTCTATAGAAATAAACTCATAGTTATATTTCAATGTCCTTTTTTCCCCACATGATAGTGGACTACATTCTATTTTACCAAATAAAACAAATTAAGTAAAAACACTTTTTTAGAGCAGATTAGCACGAACACTTTGTTTTCATTTTTATCATCTGCTGCTTAGAACTGACTCATTTTCTCTTCTCATCTGAGTCTCTAAACATGTGTAATGGTGCTTTTGTGCTTTTAAAATCTCAAGGTAATTGGGAAATAATAAGTCTGAAAAATAAACTATAGTATTTAAGTAATAACTATTAATTAATAATGGTGAAATGCAAAGCATCTGAAGGGCCAAGAATGTCTTTTATCATCACATGAATAATCTACACTAATAAAAGAGAAACATGGTAATTGGCGTACGACCGCTACCCTTTTCATTGGCTAATCAGTGAGCATATGCAAATTATGATTCAACAACGAACAAAGTAACAGAAGAACAAAAAGGAAGAGACCCAGGAAATATTAATTAAATACAGATGAGGGATGAAGACCAGTCCCAAGATGACAACTGTGTAGCAAGACTAAAAAACCTCCCAGTTCAACTGAAGATTTCCATGAAAAAAGGGGACGAGAGGAGGGAACCAATCGATGGGTTTGGGCAATTGGAAATAATGATAGTCATATAACAGATTTCAAATACCCTGTGAAAAAAATTAAACACAAGTTTACATTAAAGACTAATAAGCAAATAAAAAAATTTACAAATTCAAGGGGAAAACCAGTTGCATAAGAAAGAAAATACAATCAGAGTACATCATTTGACCTATGCAGTGACAATACTGTCATAGTAATATAAATTTTTACTAGTAATTGGCCAAAAATTGTGAAATAACCATATTTTGAAAAAAATGGAGGGGAATTTAGGGTAAAAGGAGATGGTAAGCTCTTTGACTACCATAATAGGAAATCCTAGGTAATGCCTTACATTAATAACATAGATAGTGGCAGAATGTTAACATTCCTAAAATGATGGTTCCCTCTAAGGAGTGAGTCTAAAGGATAGAGAAGGGTGAAACTGGGGACTGAGATTTTTCATCAGAAGTCTTTTTGGCAAAACTATTTGATTATAAAGTGTGTTTTATATTACTTTGATAAACTTAACATTTTAAATATAGAATCCACAGCATTTGAGAATTTTTTGGCCTCGCTATAAATTTAATCTTTTCTTTTACTTTATAATAGCCCTTCAGAGAAAATAAACTCTCTCCAATGAAATATAAAGAAGAAAAATATCAAGGAGTTTATTTTTACAATTACACAAATTCTATAGAAATAAACTCATAGTTATATTTCAATGTCCTTTTTTCCCCACATGATAGTGGACTACATTCTATTTTACCAAATAAAACAAATTAAGTAAAAACACTTTTTTAGAGCAGATTAGCACGAGCACTTCGTTTTCATTTTTATCATCTGCTGCTTAGAACTGACTCATTTTCTCTTCTCATCTGAGTCTCTAAACATGTGTAATGGTGCTTTTGTGCTTTTAAAATCTCAAGGTAATTGGGAAATAATAAGTCTGAAAAATAAACTATAGTATTTAAGTAATAACTATTAATTAATAATGGTGAAATGCAAAGCATCTGAAGGGCCAAGATTGTCTTTTATCATCACATGAATAATATTATATAAAGAAGATGTGACCCATATTCATACAAACTAGAAAAAAATATTTACATGAAGTCAAGATAATTAAATATATTTCTTAAAAATAAATAAATAAATAAATAAATATATTTCTTGACAATGAAGGAAAAATAATCTCTAGCAACATATTTCCCCAATTCTAAACTCATCTCTTTTATCTACTCAGAACATTTTTCTGACAAATCTAATATAATAATGGTAAAACTGAGTTTCACTTTCTGAATTTCAGTTCTATCCCAACAAAACCTAAGTTTTATCATCCAGAAGCTACAATGTAATTATTATATATTATATAAGCCTCATAGTTCTGTTTACACAAGCTTAGTACTACAGATGTTTATCCCCTATAGTCATACCAAATCATCCTTAATAGCCTCTCTGCCAGACCCAAATATGTATTTCCTAAGCACTAAAGACCCAGGAGTAAAAATCTCATAGACACTCAATAGAAAATGTGTAGCAGGTATCATTTTGTCAATTAAGCTGTCAACTGCTAAAATAAGAAAGACTATACCATATTTTTCTTACAGGTCTCTGGAAACACAAATAATTTTTAAGCAATCTCTCATTTCCATAAAAAAAAAAAAGAAGACTTTATGGTTTCTTTCTCAAAGGAGAAAATATAATTATAATATACTAGAGGTTCGGTGCACAAAAATTTGTGCACTCGGGGGGTCCCTCAGCCCAGCCTGTGCCCTCTCGCAGTCTGGGACCCCTCGGAGGATGTCCACCTGCTGGCTTAGGCCCGCTCCCCGGGGGATTGGGGCTAAGCTGGCAGTCAGACATCCCTCTGACAGCCCGGGAGCCCTCGGGGGATGTCCACTTGCCAGTGGGGAGCAGGCCTAAGTTGCATTCGGACATCCTTAGCTCTGCTAAGGAGGTGGGAGAGGCTCCCGCTACCACCGCTGTGCTGGCAGCTGTCAGCCTGGCTTGTGGCTGAGCAGAGCTCCCCCTGTGGGAGC